AATGTTATATGATCCTGATGCTGTATAGGTGGAAACATTCGGAGGGGAAGCAGTGCAATTAGTAAAATTGAGAAATCCTCTTGGACCTGGTGGAGAATATGTTGGTGCCTGGGCAAGAGGTGGCCTGGAATGGGACGAAGTACCTGTAATGGAAAGAGAACGATTAGCTGTAAGAAATATGGCTGAAGGAGAATTTTGGTAAATAAATAAAGCATTATAATTCATAAGTTATAACATATATCGCAAATAATATTATATATATATGAGTTACACTTTTATGAATGTCTTCAATTGTGACAATATCATATTTAATCATTGATTAATTAAATTACGTTAGACATTTCCTGGAAAGATTTATAATATAATAATAAAGAAATTATGTTACCAGTTTTCTAGATAAAATTTTGCATCAACGATCATTTTTAGTTTAAAGTCTGTGAATGCGATATCGCCATATTTAGACACCGATTTACCGAAGATTGATTTGATGAAAGCGGTATTTGTAGAATAGTCTATATAGCCTAGTCTAGTCTATAGTAGTGTACGTTGTCATCAGGAGGTCATAGATGAAAAAAAATTCTACCCATCCGCTTTCCCTTATCCAGCGATTAAGAAAGTCCACATCGCGTTTTCTCCATAGTACTAATGTAGTAGTGTGAGAAGGTACCAATCAATCTTACCGTCACGATATATTCATGTTTGATAAACGATGGCAATTTTATTATGATTAATGCACATCATTCATTACTGGAAATCGACAAATATTTTTCTGTAATTTATTTATGTATCCAATCATTTATAACTCTTACGTCTTAGGTGGTCTAACAATAAGTAGCACATCTGAAAAGGGATGATTAATTATGAACTATAAGCTGTTTGGCAAATTCTTGGTATAGTGTTAATTGTTATAAGACACACAATTATAGATATTCTATAAATATTTAATCTCAAGATTTAGATTATTATTTAAAAATGTTTTTTCTATAGCGAGAACATTTAATATTCTTTAGATTACTGGATATGTAAGTTCTGACGTGAAATTACAGTTACTTATAATGATTACTAGCGTTGCAAATGACACAAATTGTCGCTATATTTCAACATATAAAATAATTTTGATATCATATTAATTATTTTCAGACTTCACGGTTCTTATGAGGCGCTCAAATACGGCACATTATTGGATGGCTTGTCTGATCTCACAGGTGGTATTACCGAAAGCATCGCGATTCGTCAAGATCCCACAGCTTGCGGACGAGCATTATCGAAACTTCTGGACATGACATCTCTCATCACATGTACAGTAAATAATAATCAACAGCAACAGGTAAAAGGCGTTTCAAATATGGAGCAGGTTCTTCTCAATACTTTGCTCACGCGTATTTTTATCGTAGATACGTGCCAGCACGGAGAAGCTTGCTAATGGCATACAAATGGGAATCAATTATAGATTATATGCTATTGAGAGGGTTAGTATATTGACAACAATCGTATTCTTCATCAACATAAATTATAGAAGCAATAAGAGCAACAATAAAAGATATTTGAGAAAGAATGTTATATGATCCTGATGCTGTATAGGTGGAAACATTCGGAGGGGAAGCAGTGCAATTAGTAAAATTGAGAAATCCTCTTGGACCTGGTGGAGAATATGTTGGTGCCTGGGCAAGAGGTGGCCTGGAATGGGACGAAGTACCTGTAATGGAAAGAGAACGATTAGCTGTAAGAAATATGGCTGAAGGAGAATTTTGGTAAATAAATAAAGCATTATAATTCATAAGTTATAACATATATCGCAAATAATATAATATCAGAAGATTGATTAAAGAGAGGGAGAGATAGAGAGAGAGAGAGATATGTTGCAAGATATAAAGAATTTATATATGTCATCTTTTAATTAAGATATATTTGCAAAAATTTTGTATTAGATACCATCTCTCGAGTAGATTCCTGAAATGTAAATTAAATTTTTATGTATAGACTCTGAGTTTTCTATAAAATATCAATTATATATTATGTTACGATTTCCAGGATATCATATTCCGATTTCGTTAAGACATTCACTCATCTGGAAGTAGTGCATCTAGATTCTGAAACTTCGAGAGACGAGCCATCGTTACATAGCAAGCACACTTGGCAAATGAAATTGTATCAAGGAAGCTGGAGAAGAGGCGTCACTGCAGGAGGATGTCGAAATAATCAAGGTTTGATTGATAATTATTTTTTTTATTTTAAATTTAATGCAATTTGTGTATACATATAATATACATAGATAAAATATGTATAATAATATTTTGTTTATAGAAACTTTCCATATAAATCCACAATTGCATCTTATTTTAAGTGAGATGGAAGAAGTGATCGTTTCGTTGAATCAGCATTCTATCATGGAGCCAAAAGTAAGGATCTTTATTTACGAGAATCGTGCGGTTAACGTGTTCCTTATCAGACAAATTCATCAAACTTTCGCCGTTTTAAGGTGATTGGCTTCACAGCATACACGCTGCCGAAGAACAACACCGAGTCGATAAACAAACAGTTTTTTAAGAAGAATAAGTCCTTAGTTAATTCCCAGTATACGAATAGTCGGCAGGTGAGCCACAGGTGTCAGCTCGAGCAGGGTGGTTACTTGTTGGTACCTACGACCTTCGAGCCAACTCAAGAAACGAGTTTTACGTTACGAGTCTACAGTAGTAAGCCTCTAAAACTCAAGTAGGTACATGTGCATTTACCGATGTCATATATATATGCGCGCACAAAGGATCGTATGGTCGCGTCTGTGCATTTAATGTACAGCATACATTAACTCATGCAAGCATATGTTATACGACTCTCGTTCACCTTCAATTATGGTTTTAACATCTTCTTTCGACCATATTTCAAAGAACGCATTAAATCGTCTCTCCGAAGCATGTACTCTTTTGTGAAACGTAATAAATCGAAAATTTTATCGGCAAAATAATTCATTATTTTTATCTGAGTATTTTCGATAAATTTTTCTCTTTTTCTTCTTTAAAATTTTTGTAGTTATATAGTATATATATTTTATCGTTAAATATTTTATATTTAAAATTTGAAATGCATAAAATTTCACGTTCTTCAATTATTAAGTTTAAATAAGTTTTACGTTTAGAATTAAGAAATGATTGATAAAATTTTGCTTTATATTCATATACTATTTTTTGATGTTTTAGATTATTAGACACGCCACCATCTTTAATGAAATCGGCAATTGTTAAGGCTCCTCCACTTGAAGGCAAAGGTTTTTCTCAATACGAAGCCGTGTTTTTACAGCTTGCCGACGAACACAGAACCGTAAACGCCTTTGAATTGCAGGAGCTTCTAGAAGCCTGTTTACCAAATGGTACGCAATTCATCGTTTCTCCATTCTAATATATATGTATAGAAAGTCTTTTTAGCAAAATGCACTGAAATGATATACAATGTCAATCCAGATAAGTATTTCCTCTTCAATTTTCAGATTACATCAAAAGCTGTGCCTGTATGGAAGTGTGCCGACAAGTAGTACTCACTATGGATGTATCCTTTCGATAAAAAAATTTAATTTCTTAGAATGCATTTTCAATTGGTTTCAAACATTTCTCTCAACTACTATCAAATGTAAATGTGTGATTTATCTGTGGTTTTACATTTAATCAATACAATATTTGATATTGTTAAAACGTAATTGTATGTTTAAATAATTAAATAAAATGAGTATACAGATCGAGTATATTTTATTAGAATCTTAGATAAAAAATTTCTTCTATTGATTTACATATTTGAATAGTAAGATACGTAATAGTGATATTTTTTCCTTACATTTTTTACGTCGATAAACAGAGCTCTGGAAGCGGCCGACTAAAGTTCAACGACTTTAAAGATCTTATGTGTAGTTTGAAGTATTGGCAAGCTGCTTTTAAGAATCATACGAAGGAAAAGACGGGTATACTCAAGGCGGAGAGATTGCGAGATGCACTGTTGGAAGTTGGTACGTATGAGAAAAATGTAATATATACTAGTGCTGTATGTGGAGAAAAACACATTCTATTTTATTCGCCCGTATACAACGAAGGCTTCTCTATCTTAGGTTTTCAATTAAACACGGACGTATTATCCATCTTGATTCTTCGATACATGAGGAAAGATGGGACTCTTCGATTCGGCGATTTCGTTTCGGCGATATTACATTTGAGCGACGCATTTGGTACGTTGGACGACAGAAAGAAGCTTTTAGTCGTATATAAGCTGATTCATTCATATACGCTGTCAGATAATTCGTACTAATGAAAATTATTTTTACTTAGGAATTTTCGAGAGCAAGGATCCTTTACAAAATGGAACGATAAAATTAAGTTTGTCAGAGGTGCATAGAAGTTTTATGAAGAATATAATATCTATTTTTTATGCTTATATATATGAACTAAAAATATTTAATTGCTTACAGTGGTTGAGATCGTCTCTGATGTGTTGAAGTATCAGTCAGCGCAGATCATGTGTACCTTGTGAATCGTCTGTAAATAACATCCTCTTCATTTCGACATTAAATATAAGTTTTAGCCATATTAACGGTTAGCGATTGTGCCTATCGAATATTTTTTACTTTGTATATATATATAAAATAATATCATTGTTTTTTTTACATTATCGCATTGATCATCATTCCATTATGTAATTATTATACGTTATTAAGGAGATATGTATGATACGTCGTTTTTTTGTAAGAGAATATCGCAATTGGCCAATAAAATTAAATTTATTTTACATAGTTTCTGTATATCTTCTATTTGATGCATATATATAACTTATTCAATAAACTATGCTCTTTCTGATATAGACAGAAATAATGCAAATATAATATAAAATCTTTTCTTTAATAATATAAGAATATTAAATGTGTACACGTTCTCTATATTCAGAATTGAAAATCACCATATTATCTTATTAAATATTTTGTCCTATACATGTATCGGAAAGAAAGAAATATAACGAATACTTACAATAGAAACATTTATTCATATAGAATTCATTCGAGAGATACAACGGAACTTTTGATATCCTAGAATTTATCGCCTACCTCCAATGGCGGAGTGAGGTATAATCCGCGCAAGTTGATTAATTCCTTGTATCGAGTCTCCGACTCGATTCCTCACACACGATTCCAATCGAGGGTTCGTCCTGCGCGAATTATATAATAAGTGCACACAAGACACAGATAGGTGGACGGCGATATGTGAAGATTACCAGGAACAAATTGACGAAGAAACAACTTTGTCCGTCATTCGCCAATCGTTTCAGGCAATCTCAAACGTCCCGTCAAAGACTTTAGATGATGCTTTGATCAAGAAGACTACCGAGCGGCGCTTCAACGGTGGATCACAACATTCGATATAATCCGTCGAAAAACACGTACGTTCGTATCAATTATGTACTCGTCGACACCTGTCACTGCGAGCAATATATATATATATCGGATTCTACGTGTCTCTTGATGATTTAATGAATATCACTCCGAGCGTTATTGTACGAAGCGAAATTTGTGAAAAACTAGAATAACTCTCGCTGTACAAAATACGAATAGTTGAGACTTTGATATGTGCAAGTTTGAGTTTAATACTAACAGATACGGAAATAGATAATTCATTCATCGGCGATTTCAATCATTTACAAATATTGCGTTCTTAATATCTTCATGATTTTCGGAGAATTGTTGAGACGATAATGTTGGTATGCTGATGTCCTAAATTACATTCATAATTTTATAATAAATTATACTTCAAAATAATAAAACAATTGCAAGAAAAGGTTGAATATTCAAATGCTAGACAGCAATTTTTATATATTAATTCTAAATTGTAGTCATTTAACTGATTCAAAAATTAAAATTTATAAAAATACAATCCTGTAAACATTAAAAAATATGTGCGACAAGATATTTTAGATATTTTAAAGATAATGACATCACAATTAGAGTTTTATGTAAAAATAAATTTTCTTAAATAATATGTGATTTGTTAAACAAAAATAGGTTCTAAAATTGTGTTATATAGAAAATATTTATATTTTGTATAGAAATATATAAATATAAATAAAATCTTTAACATAATATAGTGTGATTTGTTAAATAGAAATAGATTTTAAAATTAAGCTACTGTAATTAAATACATATGCAAGAGAGATTCGGAGAATTCTGTTAATTTTTATAAGCTGCTCGTAGAAACACGACGTCGACTCCTATAAACACTCCTTTTATAAGCACCTTATAAAGTACGTGTTTTTGTTGGTGCAACGAGGGGAAGGAAGACGTTGAAAGGTATACAGCCAGAGTTCATAGTTTCACACACATATTACGATCGTTTCCAAGAGAGGAAGACATCAAAGTTCAGAAAGTTCAGTCGTGATGACGCTTTCTCTTTACGCAAATATGGGATGGCCTTCCGCATATCGTTCATTGTCAGATATTTACATGATCGTGAAAATGTTCATAGCAGAATAGTAAAGATCTTAAAGTAAAATGATCAGCATGTTAACGATTCATACCGGTACTGGTACTGAATCGTAGAAAAGACAGTCTGTGTGTTACGGGTAATTTACGGCGACGAGCAGATTATTTCACAATGATCTACATTGCAATTTTTATAGCTGTAGCCGCTAATAAAAAAGGCATGATTTAAGCTCACAGTATCGCATTGGAAAAGAATTATATCCAGTTAAATAATAATCACTATTGGATTATTAAATCTACGTTTGATTTTAGACACAAAAGACTACGAAAGTTTATACTAAACCCTTGCTAATAATTAGAATTATTTACTGATAGTGTAATCTCTCTGACTATATCTTATTATATCGCTCGCATGAGAGTGCGGTATTTCTTTTAAATAAAACATAATCGATACACGTTGCTCGTCGCCTTCGTAAGACAGGTATCGAGGTAGGTTTATTTTGAGCCTTTGCAAATGTCGACGATGTTTAATTGAGCATCCGCGTACGAGAACTTTTGTGAGCATACAGGTCGCAATGTAATCGAGATAATTGAATTTTCGCTTTGAGACGGCGCTGTCGTGCTCGGTTGTGGTTGGACTTGACCATACCAATTTACGCGCAACGACCGTGGACACGTAAGATTAATTCGCATGTCGTTGAATAATCGATCGATCAGACTTCCATGACCCTTTGCACGGAATTAATATCCAGAGCGCAATTACCAATCGCATCCGGCGAATCTGAAAGATATTCCTCGGACGGCGTAATTCCAGCTGTCCTCATGTCATCCCTCACACGTTCTACCTGATGCAACAGTATTAATATTAATTATTGTAGTATAATATTAGAATAATGTATAAAGAAAATATAATGTTAATATAATCTTTTTTATAAAAGTAATTTAGAATTATTTAAAAAATATATTGTTTCTGTTTTTTCTTGTTAAAGATTATTACAGAGTAGCAAGAGAGAAATAATAATGATGAGCACATCGCGCGATGAAAATTTGTTGTCATCAGTCGTGTCTTTTGCCAAGTATTTAGGGAGAATAATTTATGGGTATGACTGAGAAAGATTGTGCGAGCGTGTAGTACAGTGAGACGTAGAAGCATGCATTGCTACGACAGAATTATGATGGTATTAAGGCACGTCAGAGCGCGCCGTGGCATGCATATACAACTGTACCCCAGACCTTAATCGACCCTAACCTGTGTGAGAACTCGCAGTAAATTCAAGCCGGCGACTTTCTTTAGGTCGAGCACGTTCCATTTGCCGCTACGGAGAAGTTCGGCGAATAGTTCGGGATACCTCGAGACGTCTTCAAGACCGCGAGGAGTTCTATGAAGGGAAAAACGTTTTACACGTATAATCTGTCATATTTTTTTTTTAAATAGTTTATCAACTACAAAAACAATTATACTGAACAATATTCATTAAAAATTAATCCGTAGATAAAAGATCAACTTTCTCTACCAAAGAACTTTATAATTGTAACGTTGTAGTTTGACAATTGAAATCCGGTTAAAACTATTAAAGCACTATTACATGAAAATTGTTCGAGGATTAAAGATACAGTATTTGACACATATTTCGAAAGCTATCATTAATTAACGACTTATTTCGTCTTCGACATACTTGTTGATGCCGTCGAAATCCCCGCCGACTCCGATATGGTCCACGCCGATCAGGTTTCTAATGTAGTATATGTGCTCGGCCACGTCCGAGACACTGGCTTGAGGTCCGCATTTCACGAAATAATTGTAAAACGTGACCATCACCAGCCCGCCGTTATCAGCCTGGAAACAAGCACGTGATGATATAAAGAAGAACCCGTAATTCTGACGTTTTATGATTTGAACGTGTTTCGTGCCGCCGCATCGGGAATTTCAAGCCAGCCCGATGAGAGTCCGTATAACACGTAATTTTCCGTTGGTGTATAGGAAAAGTTGTAACCTCGTTGCGCCTTTGCCCCGGAAACGGAACAAATACAACGACAGAGGGATCGATAGAATCGACGAGAAGGGAGACCTCGTTATCATGATATCGCATTCCATACCATCGACTCGGTGCCATTAATTTTCGATTTTGGTAATTCGCTTCTTAATGAGTCGAGGCAAGCCGAGCGTTCCTTAATGAGGCACAAAACTCGACAATAGAGAACGAAATTGCCGTTAGTAAATGTTTTATGCTGCTACTAAAATTTTAGCCATCGTCTTGGGATAATTACCGTCTTCCTTCTTTCGCAGGTAAGAATGTCCGAAAAAAAGAGGAAAATAAAAAAAGCAAAAAGAATTTTATCTTCGTTGTGTTGTTTTTTTTTGTATCGTTAACAGTTTAGCTTTGTGACTACAAAGTGCGAATTTTGACGCAAGAAAGTTCAATTTCCGCGCGCGTGAAAATCATTTTTATACAAATATTGGTGCTATAAATTATTGGATTTATAACAATTTTATACAAAAAGTATAAATTATATTACGATAATTTTTACATAATTTTGATTTTTCAAAGACTATATTATAACAAGAAGAATTTTAATTCTGTTTTTTTTTAAGTTTTAAACAAAGATAATTTAAAAAAGTAAGTAAGAATATATATATAACACATTTCTAGAAGAATTACAAATGGCGAACGCTGAGGAGTGTGAAAAAATGAGCGGCGCTCTACTGGCCCTCAGAGCATCCCTCATGGTCGCCCTCGCAGTGTGGCTGAGGTCTATCAGCATTCCAAGCCTATTCATTTCTTGAACTACCGCTTTACCGAATGTCGTTAGGCCCCCGCCTGGAAAATATATCAAAGTTATTTCATTCTTTATGCTTTTTGTGAAAATATATTAAAAAATGTTGTGACATAAATTTTTGAAATCAGTTAAATAATATTAATACATAAAACAGCTAATATATATATATAATATATTATCCATTTTCATTTCAATATAATTATTTCTTCTTTAAATAGCAAATCATTATAATAAATTTGATGTGAAATAAAATTTGATATATATATATAATTTAAAAAGAAAATGTAAAGCAGAAATATTTTAAATTTTCACCAAACTTTTCTTTGATATCTTAAGTACTTCTGAGTGTTTATAAAATTAAGTTTGCAAGTTTTGGCTCTGCTAATTCTAAAAAGGATGTTGATTTCAAGCTCGTGTCTAATTTACCATCTTCGTCGTCGTCTTCTACCGACGAACTTTTCGCCCACGGTGTGTTGCAAGTATGTGTCAGTGTGAGATATCGTACACCCAACTGGTAGAGCGTTCTTAAAACGGCTAAACTACTTCCTAGACTATGCCCACCCTCCACTCCAATCAGGGAGGCTATTCTACCTCGCCCGTGAGCCTCCAAAATCTCTAGAAATTAAAAATATGAGTTGAATAAAGTTGTCGATCGCGCCAAATTACTTTCTATTGAACGGCGTTCTACTTTTGATATTATGGCGAACAATACTCACCTCTCGATGATGCAGCAAATTGCATCTGCTGAGAATATTTTTCTATGAGTCTTTTAATGAGATCTATTTGCTCTAGAGTCAACTGGACTGCGTTAAGATGTTGAGACTCGCATGGCACGTAGGCGGCCCAAAACTGAAAAAAAGGCAATCTACGTAACGTATATACTTAAATTTTTCTAAGAAAACAAACTAGTATTTACTTTCTTGCATTTTATTTTCAAAAAAATGCCATAAATAATTGTCGAAAAGAATTATGTTAGCATCTATTTGATATAATTAAAGAGAAGTGATAAAAACATATCAAGGAAGATGTAAGGTAGAATGCATATTTCAAATTTTTAAGTATATTATTTTACTTTTCGAATTTTTAAGTTGATAAATTGTTTACTAAAAAAATATATTATATTTTATAATACATTTTATGACATACATTATATAATAGAAAAAAATTTGCAAAAAAATGTAATTTAAAGCCACACAACAAGAACTTCACTTAATGTCAGAACATGAATGATCTTCATGTTGAAGAATCTTTAATCTTATTTCAGAAAAATTAAATTTTCAAGAAAAATAACATTCAAGATATAATTGCAATGTATTAGCGAAATTCCAATATGACCAAAAATAGTATCGATAATATCCTGGTACGCCAGGAGACGCATTAAATCACTATATATATTGTGTAATATATATAATGTGTGTATATATATATATATATGTGCGAGCATGACACGCGCTTAATGCTCGCATCATTCAGACCTAACGAGCTCTTGAGTGCTCGTATGCGACGATAATCGATGCATTCAATCCGTCACGCTCATAATATTGCCGACACCCGAAACCCGTCTCTAGCAGTCACCCCTAGCATAGCTATCGGGAAATAACCGATAATCCTAAATTGCTTATTTGCACGTCTACATTGCACAGCAATATAATTCATTCCTTAAATTATATTGAACGCTAATACTGAATTAATATTAAAAAAGTTTATCAAATATGATAATGTGTCCAATTAAATATTTATATTAAAGAATTTTGCGCGACAATTAATGTCAATTTTTTATAATAATTATACTTTATTAAAATATTAACTCAAATTTTTGTTATCAATATTGTTTATTGTTGTGGATATTAAAAAGTTTTAAAATTCTATTTCTCTTTAAGAAAAAATCAGCCATAAACATTTGTTTCAGAGAATATTCATATCTGATTAATAATCATTAAAAGTCCGATCATTTAAAAAAGAATGCTGTATTGTTTTGTTTGTGTAATGAATCTGTTTTTGATTACAAGATTGCTACATTGTGTTTAATCATATTTAATAATTACCTGACCGCCCACCATGCCTTGTCGCAGTCTGACCAGATCGGTTTGACTCCAAGCACTTTTGCTCCAAGGCGCGATTTGACGCAAGTCCTTGTCGAACTCGAAGTCTGCCAGTTGATTGTGCAGGAAATTGCGGATGTTCCATGGTAAGTCATTGTGGCCGTCGATCAAAGGCACCTCGGAAAGAACCTGCCGAACGGTCTCCAATCGCTCACGTGGCGATGTCAGGAGTGCGAGCTCCCCATCCGCTGGACGTGGCCCGACTCTGCCCACCCAAGTGCCAATCGACAGTATAATCACGCTTACTGTCCATACACCATTCTGACCGCCACTCTGAAATGAGATACAGCAAATAATGCGATAGATTAATCTTTATTACCTTGATTACTTTTTTTTGCAATAAAAAAATTAATTATCTCTATTAAAAAAATTTTAAATATAAAAGGACTTTTTCGTTGATAAAGATATATAAATTTTGCATTAAGTAAAATGCTATTAGATGTGCGATAAGAATAAAAAGATAATTAGAAAACATGACAATAGCATATAGATTAATTATTTATAATAAATCAGATTATTTATCTACACAAAATATATATGTATAAATGGCAGATTTTTTTCAAATATTTTGTTTTTCTAAAATATTATGCTGCTGTAGACGTCGTGTAAAAATGATCTTACTCTTGAGTACTAAACTATACACAGCATATTCTATTATTAGAACCCTTATCAAAGAGACTTATCAGAGAATTTGTCAGACAGATTGCCCGGCGGAAATATGAACGACTTCAATAATGGCACAAAGCGAGTTAATAAAGTACCGTAAAAGTTTTTTTGATATATGTATTTAGTACGGTATTCGCGCGAGAGAATAACGTATTGTTCCTGTGGGATTACCTCGCGTAATGAAGATAGACCGAAAGAGGGAAACAAAACACGAAGAGGATGGTCGTATATGCAGAGTTTCGCGACCCAGGTCATTTCCCGTACACCTCCTATCCTATGAAACCAAAGATCTCAGAAACGAGTGGTATTTTCACAAAAGGGAGATATACGGCTTTGATAGAGATTATAAATTATTAAGCCCTGTTCACATTCAAGCAATGGCGGTGAATGTTTGCCTGTCGTCGGGATTTACAATTCACAGAACGAAACAGTGAATTATTTCTCGAGCAAGGTATCAAAGCCCTTGCTGTTCACTTTCCAGAACTTGCCCTTTTGCCAGTCAGACGGGCTTGCAAACACGGAGGAAAACTGTACACGCAATGGCCGGAGTTTAATCTTCGCCGCGAGTAATCCGCAGGACGAATTGCGGTACGTTACCATGTGTTACAGGATTATATGAAAGAACCATGCAGACAAATCACATTCCTTTGTCTCGTATATTATTCTGTTTACGAAACTGTTCATCAAAGGAAAGAACATTAAATTTTTTTGGAAAAATGACTGATAGCTTTTTTCCCTACGATGATTGATTATAGAGGAAATTCAATTATCACCGCCATTTGCATCGCGGTCTGATCTTTGATCTATCGTATCTTATTGAAAAAATTGGTTTCTGAATAAAGTAATTATTTGTTCAACTGGAAAACTCGTCAATCTCTATAAAAGATAACGATTTTTTGCCCATTTCTAGATTTGACGCGGCAGGATTGTATGCCTTGAGTCGAAAGCAGATATTGCACATCAATCGTACCGGAAAATATCTACTGCAAGAGAGTCGAGAGATTCGTGTATAAGAGAGATTAGCCCAACTCGTCGTTTTAGCCGTGTACAAAAGAACGAAAATTACTTGAGTGCTGAGCAATGTCGTTTAACTGTATCCACTGGCCGACCAAACGGTGACCCGCACTACTCGTTGACCGCGAGAATGCGGTCTGTTCATACTCGGCTGCCCATACACGGCATTTTCCGCGCCGCACCGCTCCGCTCGAGACTTCGAGATAGTCCCGACATTGTTTAAACTTCCGTCGGTCTTACGGAAATATTTGCGCAACGCCAACTTTCGTTGGCAATAATCATTAAGGAATTTGCAGCTCATCGCACTACTATTTTCATAGCATTTCATAATATTATTTGATATGCAGTTTATATATCGCAATTAAACAAAGATATTACTGTTATTGAAAGTTTCAATTATCGAGAATTTTGCGAATAAGCAAGTTAAAATGCGATTTATTGTTGTTTTGTACAAATATAATGTAAACCCCAAAAAATTTTAATTAATGAATATTTAAAAACTTTTCTGTCATTTTTAATATTCTAATTTTGCGTGTAAGATAAAAATTTCCTTTGCTCATTAGTCGATTTTTGTATGAAATAATATAATGTA